GGTTACCTCACTCAGGATGATTTTTTTCTAGTTCCATCATTTGCTTGCAAATTTTGTGATGTCATTCTTTTAATAGCTGAATAATAATCCATTGTGTAAATATACCACATTTTCATTTTGTTTTGTTTTGTTTTTGTTTGTTTGTGGTTTCGAGGCAAGGTTTCTCTATGTTAACAGTCCTGGCTGTTTTGGAATTCACTTTGTAGACCAGGCTGGTCTTGAACTCACAGAGATCTGCCTGTGCTGCTGCTGCCACTGCCACCACTACCACCAACACCAGCTAAAATAAGAACATATATATGTTACACACACACACACACACACACACACACACTTGGTTTTTCAAGACAGGGTTTCTCTGTATAGCTCTGGCTGTCCTGGAACTCACTCTGTAGATCAGACTAGACTCAAACTCAGAGATCACCTGCCTCTGCCTCCCAAGGACTGGGATTAAAGGCATGAGCCACCACTACCTGGCTACAATATTTTCTTTAGCCATTCTTTGGTTGAAAGGCATCTAGGTTATTTCTAATTTCTGGCTATTATGAATAAAGCTGCTATGAACATGGTTGAGCAGATGTCCTTGTGGTAGGATGGAGCACCCATTGGGTATATGCCCAAGAGTGGTATAGCTGGGTCTGGAGGTAGATCAATTCCCAATTTTCTGAGGAACTGCCATATTAATTTCCATAGTGGCTTTGCAAGTTGACATTCCCACCAGCAATGGAGGAGTGTCCCCCTTGCTCCACATCCTCTCCAGCAAGAGCTGTCACTTGTGTTACTGATCTTAGCCATTCTGACAGGTGTAAGATGGAATCTCAAAGTGGCGTACCTAGACTTCTGGTGGCCAGCATGGTTGAGCAGGGAGTCTCTGTGTGTGTTGGGGGCAGGGGCATGGCAATGAGGAGAGGAAAGGAGATTGCGGAAACACCCAGAGAGTGGGAGAGGTCTGAAGGTGGGCAGCCTGCCTGGAATTCTGGCAGCTGGTGTGGCCTCTGGTCAAGCCGGGGGTGGGGTGGTGTCTCTGCCCATGTTCAGGAGGGGAACTTCTTAGGAAAAAATGGTTCTATCTGAAAAGGGAGAGGGAAGGGTACTCAGGGTGAATACTACTAAAATTCATTATATACATGCATGTAACTTTCAGAAAACAGTAAAAGATATGGTATAGAACTCTGTTGTACATTTCACATTTTGTGTCCACATGCTGATGAATGTGTCTTGGCTATTGTGAAATTACTAAAGTAAATCTAGGTTTGTTTGTAGATGTTTAGTTGAAATAATTGATTGCAGATCTTTTAGATCTATATATGAAAGTGGGATTACTGGGTCATACATAGTTTTAGGTTTTTATAAACATATGTATGTGTATATAAGTGTTCATATGTACACACATGTGAAGTCCAGAAAACAACCTCAGGTGTCATCTTCAGGAAAAGCCATTCATACCTTTTAAAACAAGGTCTTTGATTGGACTGAACTTCGCCAATTAGGTCTGGCTAGCAGACCCCAGAGATCCTCTTATCTGTGGGGCTACAAGGACATGCTTTGGAGGCTGGAGAGATGGTTCAGTGGTTAAACTCACTGTCTGCTCTTTCAGAAGACCTGTGTTCAATTCCAGACATCTCCATGGTGGCTCACAACTATCTCTAACACTGTATGTAAACACCCTCTTCTGACCTCCACAGGCACTACACACATACCGTGCCTACACAAGGTGATGCCATCATGCCCTGTATTTTTACGTGGGTTTGGGGTGGGGGTGTTGAATGCAGGTCCTTGTGCGTGCAAGGTGTAAGAACTTTACCAATTAAGCCATCTCCTAGCCCTGTTTTCAGGGTTTTTTTTTTTTTGAAGAGCATACTGTTTTCCAAAATGGCTTTACTAAGAAACATGAGGTTTTGAAGGACAGCTACTAAGTGATGGTAGAGGAAGAGGAATTGGAGTGGAAAGAGAAGAAAGTGATGGTCAGAGGGAAACGACCCAGAAGGATTGTAACGAGCAGAGAAAGAAAGGGTCCGCTTGGATGAGGACAACAAGGTTGATTTTGGCCACAAGAAAAAGAATACTTGATCTGCTTTCAGCCTACCTTACTGGTCTTCTATAAACTGTTAGAGTTACAGAGAAAATGCCTAAGATCAAAGGAACCAGGGAGAATGTAAGCCATGAGAACAGCCCAAGAACCCACCACTCATTTCAAAAGCTGGAAAGAGTGAGGAAGAAGGCAGCAGGATTTTAATCCCAGCAAAGGCCGGAGAATCGCTGTAGAGCTGGAGGTCTACAGAGCAGCCAGGTTGCTCCATGGAGAAACCCTGTCTCAAAAAAATCAACCAACCAGACAGCAACAACAACAAAAGGAAGATCTCCACCAGGACAAGGAGGAGACAACCAAGAGGAGCCCTGAAGCAGGCCTGGCCTGGACCATGAGTGCGGGGCTGGGTGTCAGGGAAGAGCTTTCTCTGTGAGTGACTGGCAAATTCTCATGAAGCAGGAAGGGTTTCTTGCATTGATTGGGCCATGGAAAAGCCATGGACTTGTAAGGCTAGAGGTTTAGGTAGTCTAGATGGTGTTTGTGTGTGAGCATGCACACAGGTACAGAGGGCAGCTCTGTGTGGTGGTCAATAAAGACGGGGGCCTCCCTCACGAGGACTGTAGCTCTGATTCCGCTAGGCTGGCTGACAGGCCAGCAGGTTCCAGGGATCCACCTGTGTATTGCTCCCAGTCACCAGAACCACAAGTTTGCCACCGTGGGTGCTGGCGTCAAGCTCGGGTCCTCATGCTGAGTGTTATCCTGGGTCGTTCTATGTCAGCTTGACACAAACTGGAGGTAGCTGGGAAGAGGACCTTCAGCTGAGGAAATGCCCTCATTAGATTGCCAGAGGCAAGTCTGGAGGGCATTTCTTGATTAGTGACTGACGAGAGAGGGCCCAGCCCACTGAGGGTAGTAACATCCCTGGGCTGGTGATCCTGGGTGATATAAGAAAGCGTGGAGAGCAAGCCAGTAAGCTGGACTCTTCATGCTTCTGCTTCAGTTCCCGCTCTGATTTCCCTTAGTGAGGGAATGTGCCTGAGAGTTGTAAACTGGAATAAATCATCTCCTCCCTGGATGTGCTTTGGTCCTGGTGTTTTATCATAGCTGTAGAAAAGCAAGCTAGAGCAGGTGTCAGCCACCTTCCTGACCGAGCCATCCATCTAGCCCAGGGACTTTTGGAGCCACAGTGTGAGGTAATTGAGAAGACGCTGATAATGTGGAAAATGCTGATGCGGTGCACTAGGCTGTAGCTTCCGCATGGACCAGGAGCAGCAAGGTAAACGGCAGAATGTTGCTCTAAGTGTAGGTTGATTGTCCTGATCTGAAAATCCCAGACCTGAAATCCTCCAGAATCTGAAGTTTTTGAATGTGGAGTTGATGCCATATGTAGGAAAGTACACACCGTGAAACTTTCATCTACCAGATTGTTAAAAGGTATCAGGTAAGGGGCTAGAGAGATGGCTTGGTAATTAAGGGCCCTTGCTGCTTTTACAGAAGGTCAAAGTTTGGTTCCCAGCACCACATGGTGACTCAACGTTGGTACCACCTGTTCTAGGAGATCCAGCCCTCTCTGACCTTCAGTGTCCTCAGGCACCCATGTGGTCCATATTCACCAGTTCGGCGAAATACTCATCCATGAAACAAATCTGGGCCAGCCATGGTGGTGCATGACTGCAATCCTAGCACTCAGGAAGCAGAGTCAGGCTGATCTCCATGAGGTCAAGGGTAACTTGGTCTACACAGGGAATTCCAAGCCAGCCAAGGCTACAGAGTAAGACCCACTCTCAAAAAAAACCAATAACAAAAGAAAAATCCCCAGACCTAAAAAAGTTTTTTTTAATTATATAAAATTGCCTTTGGACTGGGTAATATGAAACATGAGTGTGTTTCATGTTTAGAATTGGGTCTCATTCTCAGGATAATTCATTATGTACGTGCAAATACTCCAGGATCCAAAACACTTTGGGTTTAAGCAATTGGCACAAGGTAACTCAACCTGCATACAAGAATTTTTTTTTTTTGAGGAGAAATGTTAATGTGAGTATTTAATTTTAGGGTGACATGTTGGTTTTTTTAAGTTTTCCTATATTTGAACATACTTGATCCTTTATTAGTCTTGGATTTATTCACTTTTTATAGTTGTAGAACAAGATTGTATGTTAGTGTGATATAGTGGAACAATCATTGTATAAGGTAGCTGTTAGATTTTTTTTAAACTGCCAGTTTGTTAAATTAATACAAAGTTGAAATTTCCATGGGTGAAAAATGATTAAAATCTCATTTTTAAAAATACCTTATGGTGGGGTATTGTGGTTCACGGCTTTAATCTCAGCACTCAAGAGGCAGAGGCAGGTGGATCTCTTTGAGTTCAAGGCCATCCTGGTCTGTATAGACCCTGTCTCAACAACAAAACAAACAAAAACAAAAGCAGTTTAGGGGCTGGAGAGATGGTTCAGAGGTAAAAACCAAATCAAAACAAAAACCCACCACCACCACAAAAACTCTTGCTGCCCCTGCAGAGGACTGAGTTCAGTTACCAGCATCCGTATCAGGTGACTCACAACCCCCTATAACTCCAGCTCCAGGGAATCTGCTTCCCTCTTCTGGCCTCTGCAGACACACGGACATATACACAGAAGTAAACGTAAATCTTGAAAAAACAAAAAACGCTTTAGAAATGTGTGCCTCTGAAGACTCAGAGCGGGGACTGGCAAACCACAGTCAGTCTGAGGTTAGGCCTGGCCCACAGCTTCTTCATTGGAACTTTGCCACACTCCTGAGTCTCTATGCTGTGTCTGATTTTGTCTTATGACAGCAGAGTTGCATGATTGTATGGTCCTATAAAACCTTAGATACTTACAACATGGCCTCTTAGTATTCTGATATATGCTCAGATGTCTGGAAGGGTATACATGACATGCGAAGCTAGCTATCTCGAATTATGGGTTATTTTTTGTTTTGTTTTGTTTTGTTTTCCTTCCTTCAGGTCTCTCTGTTGTCCAGTGAGGTCTTAAACTGATAATCCTCCTGCCTCAGCCTCTCACATAGCTGAATTGCAGGTATACACTCCAAGCCTGGTAGATTATTTACAATTTCTAATGTTTCTACCCAAGCAGGTATGTTCGAGACACACTCTTTAGTCAGCTGTGTAATTATAAATGTGACCACTAGGTGGAGTGCAGTTACAAAAAACCTGCTTCTCAAAATAGTAGACCACTTACTGAACAGCTGTAGTGAAGATCGCTGTTTGCGTCAATCTGAACTAAAATCTTCCTTGTTGTTTTGCAGCCCCAATGTGGAGTGCAAAAGCATGAGGTTTGGCATGTTGAAGGACCATCAAGCTGTCACAGGAAACGTCACTGCCTTTGATGGGTCTATTCTCTATCTTCCTGTTAAGCTTCAACAAGTGAGACCCAGTGGAGATGGTGGCGTGGGTGAAACTCCTGCATGCTCTGATGGTTTGAGTGGTGGTGAAGTACAGACTTCCTGGGCATGTGACTTGAACCTTCCCATTTTTAGACAGAAAGCACGCTTCTGCAGAGCACAGCATAAATCCCCCCACTTAAGTTTAAGAAGTAACTTTTCACATAAGCAGAGTGGTAGGAAGCTTCTGGGACTCTGTGGCAAATCATCACTCAAATTTTCAACTTCAGGGCCTGGAGAGAGAGCTCAGCAGTGAAGAGCTGTCTTGCAGAGAGGCCAGGTTCATTCTTAGCACCCGTACTGGGTGGCTCTCAATCATCCTTCTAATACCAGGGGATCCGGAGTCCTCTTCTGGCCTCCTTGGGCACCTGCATACACATGGCGCACATGTACATGCATATAAAGTGAATTTAAAATAAAAAGATTTAAAGTTTCAACTTTGAATTTTATTTGTGTATTTATTTATTGATTGCCACACTGATTTTGCCAGCACTGGCTGCAAAGTAAGGGGGAAGTAGAAGCTACATTTGGGGCTCTAGAACTCAGTGAGTTAGGGCTAAGGCTTCACATCTGTCCTTTCTAGTTACTCGTGTATATTTACTTGTTAGGTTGTTGAGTTAAAAAGCCAGAGAAAAACCGATGATGCCGAGATCAACGTCAAGATTGAGCTGACGAAGATTCTCGAGCCCTGCTCTGACTTGTGCATCCCCTTCTACAATGTGGTTTTCCGACGGTAAGGGGGCCGCTGCGGTCTTATGCACGGAATAAGGGTCGCCCCCCTGGAAGTGTGGATTGTGACACACACAGCGACAGTGTCTGGGTGGGCTAGGAAGCACGTAATGAGTGGCCTTAGCATCTGCTCACTCAAGAATTCTCTCTCATTTGACAGGTCAGGTTTGGGCCCCTGCAATTAGCCCTGTGGGTAGCTGAGTAGCAGCTTTCTTTTAGCAGGGTTCTTTTGGATGAGCTTAAGAATGTTCAGACCAGATGTTTGTTTTGAGATAGAATTTCATGTAACTAAGGCAATCTCAAACTTGATATGTAGCTGAGGATTACCCGTCCTGATCCTCCCACCTCAACTTCCCTAATGCTGAGATTACAGACATGAGCAACCATACACAGCCAAAACAGATGTCAATATTGTTTATTTAATAGCGTTAGGAGTGAAGGGGCTTCTCAGAGTACAAACATTTGCTGGGAGATATTTTCTAGAATTATACGTGGCTTACAATTGTTTATCTTCTTTTGAGAGTTTCTCAATTTTGCACAAGTGTTCATCCCAAACTACCTCTCCATTAATAAACCAGAACCTAAAGTGAGCTGCTGGAGCATACACAGTGCCCTCGCTGGGAACAGTTCATGTGCATTCTCTTTAGTTCATGGTGAACAGTAATGTAATGAGGCTATGGAATGGCCCTGTGTTTGGCGAGGTGGGTACCAAGAGAGCCTTCAGTCATTTGAGCATACTCCAGATGGATGCTTTGCTAGCTTTACAAGATGATTCTAAACATAGGCTACATTATGCACAAAACAAAAACTTTTCTGTACCTTCAGGTTTGTAGAGGAAGCCATAGCTAAGGCTGAAAGAGCTTTTTCTGTTAGGCTTGGGATACAGCTAGCTGGTGAGTGCTTGCCTAGCGAATATGAGGTTCTGGGTTCCACCCCTAGTACTGAGAAGGAGAAAGGAACTCACCTCTCGTGTTTATTTCAGGGTAATGAAACTTTTGGATATGAAGCTTGTGGGGAGAAACTTCTATGACCCTACAAGTGCCATGGTACTACAGCAACACAGGTTGGTGGGTTTTTTTCCTCCTTCACTTTTGAATGTTCTGGAAAGAAACTTCATTATGGCCACTATACTTAGGACATAAACTTCACCAGTGTTTTATGGTAGTAAGTACAATTTAATCAACTAAATCTTTTTGCTTGTTTATATTTTTAGTAAATTTGTACTGATAATGATTTGGTTATGTTTTCCCCCTAGGGCTTCCTCCTTATTACTGGGAAGGGCAGTATCAGTATTGTGTCAAGTAGGGGCATGGAATTCTGTGGCTCTGATGCTCTTGAAACACCTCACTTCAGGTTGCAGATCTGGCCCGGCTACGCAGCTAGCATCCGGAGGACAGATGGAGGTCTCTTCCTGCTTGCTGATGTCTCTCATAAAGTCATTCGGAATGACTCTGTGCTGGATGTCATGTGAGTGAATGGTGGGATCCACCTTTAACACGATGATGACTTTCTGAAGTTCAGAAATGGGTAGTCGGAGGACAGGGTGGACTCTATTCTGTAGGATTTTTAATGGTAAAATGTATTAAAAGAATTGAAGCCAGGTATGGTGACTCCCCCAGGGTTGAGGCAGGAGGATAACCTCAAGTTCAAGCCTGGCCTAGACTATATAAAGGGTTCCAGACCAGCCTGAGCTACAGTGTGAAACCCTGTCTCAGAAAACAAAGCAAAACAAAACAGAGAGCTGAAAGAATGTGCTCTTTCCTGAAGTCTAGTGAGATGAGCATCTGCTGTTCTCCAAGAAGTCTTAATTCCTGGGTGGGTGAGATCAAATTAGTTCTTCTTCTGAGCCCTGTTTTTAAGTCTTGAGTCACGCATCACCTGCTTATGTCACATACAGGCTGAGGTGATTGGTTGTTTTTTGTACTTTCGAGACAGTCTTTTTTTTTTTTTTTTTTTTTTTTAAGATTTATTTATTTGTTATGTATACAGTGTTCTGCTCACATGTATGTCTGCAGGCCAGAAGAGGGCGCCAGATTTCATTACAGATGGTTATGAGCCACCATGTGGTTGCTGGGAATTGAACTCAGGACCTCAGGAAGAGCAGCCAGTGCTCTTAACCTCTGAGCCGTCTCTCCAGCACCCAAGACAGTCTTATTCTATATCTTAAAATAAGACAGTCTTATTTTAGTATCATAGGCTAGCCTGGAACTTACACGGTGGTCCAGGCTGGCCTCTGTATGTTTGTAGTACAAAGCCACTCAGCTCTAGATCAAATCTGTGGCTTCCAGGAGACCCTGCTACTGGTCTGGGCACTTCATCCTCCAGACCTTTTGTGTTATTACAGACCCAGGAAATGGCCAAAGAGAAGTTATTTTCCTAGATATCTGAGCAACTCAGTCTTTAGAAATAGATTTTTTTCATTACCCAGGAATAACTTACATGCTTGTAAATGGTCGCGAGCAAATAGGTTTACCCAGTGGGTTCAATGTTACCTGTTGCTGCTACATTCTCAGTAACTGATTTGATGATCATCCCAGTGGAATTCAGGACCATCCGCAGTGTCTGCTGAGTACTGGTGCCGGCCGGCTGGGCTACCCCCACCTTTTTCCTGATGCTCCCACCCGTCAGGTGGAGACCTAACACTGCCTCCGTGTTGTCCTGCTCTGGTGCAGGCCGTGGCCTCCGTTATCTCCTTGGAGAAGGGATGGAAATGCTGTGGGCCTCAGGTGTTTACCTTAGAGTGAGTCAAGTTCTAGGCAGGAAGTTCTTTTCCCTCAGAATTGGAGCAAGGCTGCCTTCCAGTCCCCTGACCACTGAGCGAGCAGGGCCACGTGGAGTTCTGTTTTCAGTCTTCAAGCATCATCTTCACCGGGCTTCCCGTCCTTTTGGAAGGTTCCCAAACAGTTCTTTTTGTTGTCTTATTAGCATACATTAGTTACAGCAATGGCGGCTTCATGCTGTTTCCCGTGTGTGCTGCATTTTGAGCTCACTTGCCCCCACCACCGTTTCCTCCGTGCCTCTCTCCACCAGTCGCTCTTCTCCCCTCATGTGCAGTCTTTTGTTGGGCATAGTTTTTGTGACTCAGCAGCTTAGGATTGCTCATGTGAGCATGGGTGAGTGTTGATTGACCAGGAGCTGTGTACCACTAAAGAAAACGCTTCCAATCAATCACCCAGCTGCCCTTGGTTCCTCAGAGAAGGGTGGGACCTTGCTGGCCCTCCCCACTAGCAGCCTTCAACTTCCTGTAACTCTATGAGAGAGTGGCCCTCGCCCTCCATGATGCAGTTTCAACTGGCCCAGTCTCCTGCAGGTTTCTCCATGTAGTCTCCTCTAATATTACTTGTTCCTTTCTGTGTATTTTAGCATTCTTTCTGGAGTAGTTTCCTTCCTGCCTGAAGCAACACTATAGTATGTCATTTAGTTTAGGATTTGCTGGTGAGAATTTAGATGCTTACTTTGCTTTTTAGACTAAAATTCTGCACTTGGTAGATATTTTCTTCTAGCATCGTCTGTATTCCATTATCTTCTGGCTTACATCGTTTGTATCACAAGTCAGCTGCCTGTGTTACAGTTGCTCTTAAAACTGTTCTTAATTTTTGTCTTTTCAGAAGTTTTGCTATAGTTTATCTAGTTTCGTTTCTGTGAAAGAAAAAAAAGACTGTGACACTTGTTCAGGAATGGTAAGGTGGACTTTGTGAGGACCATTGGTGGGAGGGATGGACTCCACTATGACGACCCCAAGGCACAGTGGCACTGTTCTAGGCGGGCTTCTGCTGGGTTACTAGGCTGGTCTCAAACTCGGGGTTGGAGCTGGGCAGTGGTGGTGCACGCCTTTAATCCCATATTTTGGGAGGCAGAGGCAGGCCAATCTCTGAGTTCGAGGCCAGCTCCAGCATAGTCTACAGAGTGAGTTCCAGGACAGGGCTACACAGAGAAACCCTGACTCCAAAACTAAAACTCCTTGGGCTCAAGCAGTCCTTCCGCAGTAGCCCTCAAGGTGGCTGCACTACAGACACACACCAGCACATCCGACTTGGGAAGTGGGAATGTGTAAAACAATAACAGGGTAGGGGAGAGTAGAAGGGGGTTACTGACAGGGTATGTGTAAAACAGTAACAGTGCAGGGGAGAGTAGAAGGGGGTTACTGACAGGGTATGTGTAAAAC